ATCTCAAACCAGAAAAGTGTTCTTTTGAGAAGAAGGAAGTGGAGTTTCTCGGTTTGATCGTCAAGGATGGACACGTCTCTATGGATCCGGTCAAGGTTAAAGGAGTTCAGGAATGGCCCACTCCTATCCGTGTCAAGGACATTCAATGATTCATGGGATTTGTGAACTTTTATCGTCGATTCATTCTCGGTTTCTCAAACATTGCCAGGCCCATGAATGAACTCATCAGGAAGAATGTACCATGGGAATGGACAGACAAACAGGAGAAGGCTTTCAGAACCCTCAAAGACAATTTCTCTTCTGCACCAGTGCTAGTTATGCCAGATGCAAATAAAAAACAGAAGATAGAGAGCGATGCATCAGACTATGCTACTGGTGGCATACTTTTGCAGTTGGAAGAAGATGGACTATGGCATCCAGTGGCCTTTTTCAGCAAATCAATGCAGGATGCAGAGGCTATCATATGTGCATTGGAAGAGTGGAGGCATTATGTGCAGGGCACACCTCATCCGGTAGAGATCTGGACGGACCATAAAAACCTCGAGTACTTCATGACAAGCCAGAAGTTAACTCGTAGACAGGCAAGATGGTCCTTGTTCCTTGCAGAGTACAACTTCATTCTGCAACACAAACCGGGAAAGGTTAATGACACTGCCGACGCTCTGTCCAGGAGGCCAGACCACAGAGGGGGGGTAGAAAATGACAATTCCGATCACATGCTTCTGAAACCCGAGTTTTTTCATATCAAAGCCGCAAAAAGAGGTCAGATTCTGATAGAAGGAGAGCATTCGCTGTTGAAGCGTATCAGAAACTGTACCAATTTAGATCCAGAAGTCCGAAATGCTATCAAAACTCTGAAGAAAGCCCCCATGCAGTTGAGAAGAGGATTGGAAGAGTGGAATACGGAGGATGGACTTATTCTGTTCAGAGGATTGGTCTACGTTCCCAATAATAAGGAAATTCATCGCTCAGTGCTAGAGATCTTCCACGACTCACCTGCAGCAGGACACATGGGACGTGCCAAGACTCTTGAACTTGTCTTGTGGAACTATTGGTGGCCTCAGATGCAGAAGTGGGTCAACGACTATGTAGATGGATGTGATTGATGCAAGCAAATGAATGTGCTACCATCAAAACCCCATGGACTGTTGGAGCCAAACGAAATTCCAGAAGGGCCATGGCAAACCATTAGCTGTGACCTCATCACCAATCTACCCATCTCCCAGGGCAAAGACAGTATTTTGGTAGTCGTTGATCATTTCACAAAGCAAGCACACCTTGCTCCGACCACCAAAGATGTTAATTCCAAGGGAATCATGGACTTATTTCTTAATCACGTATGGAAGTTACATGGAACACCAAAGAAGGTGATCTCGGATAGGGGAACACAGTTTGTGTCCAAGTTCATGCAGGAAGTCTCGAAAAGACTAGGAACCAAGTGGTCCATGTCAACACCATATCACCCACAGACTGACGGACAAACGGAACGAGTTAATCAAGAAGTCGAGCAGTACCTATGACTCTTCACATCTTACCGTCAATCTGATTGGGTTTCTTGGCTTCCAATTGCTGAATTCACGCATAACAACTCCATAACAGTCACTGGACATTCCCCATTCAAATGTGTCTATGGCTATAATCCCGAGTTCACGATTTCCCCTAATTCTTCCAACACAATTCCACAAGCCAATCAAAGAGTAGCTGAGATGAAAGAGGCACAAGAAGAGACAAAGGTGATGCTAGAAATAGTGAATGATCGAATGAAAGCACTTTTATGATCATAAAGTAAAAGACGCACCAGAATTCAAGCCAGGCGACAAGGTATGGTTAGATGCGACAAATATCAAACAACGTCATCTGAGCCAGAAATTGTCCGACTGCCGTCTGGGACCATTTGAAATCGAAGAAAAGACTGGCGAGTTAAACTACAAGTTAAAACTCCCTGTTAAATGTTGCATTCACCCAGTCTTCCATGTATCGCTGCTCACCCCGCATCAAACCTCTCAACTTGTCGATCGCCCACCGCAAAAGTGTCCACCACCGGAGATTGTTGACCAAGTCCCAGAATATGAAGCAGAGCAAATATTGCAAAGCCACCTATACAGACGCAAGTTGCAGTATTTAGTAAAATGGAAAGGATATGCAGAAGAAGAAGCAACATGGCAGTCAGAGGAAGATGTGAAGAACACGCTGCTTATTGTAGCCGACTTTTATGCAGAGAACCCAAATGCGGTTAAATCGGCGTGAATCTCCGCTTCAATTCTGACGACCCCTGACTTCCTCGAATGGAGACAGAAAAATATATGACCATCTTACATTTGCGAGGACGCTCATCCTAGAAAGGGGGTAATGTCACGAATTCCTAATACGAACCATTTTTCATTTCTCAGTTTTCCTTTGGCTACTTCCAGTACCCGAACCGGTCACGTGACTCCTCACCCTGTCACACCTTCACCTCTTCACATATCACCCGTGGTTTCTCCGATTGGCTCCCCTACTCCACAGGCTAGAACAATCTCACTTCCCAAAGAAGAACTGGTCGGAACTTGGGTTTCTGTTTAGTTGCCGTCTTACTCATTCACTTATATATCATGATGTCATACTTAGTCATCCGCAGTATTGTACAACTCTTTTCTCATTGGCTGATTTCTTTCAGACTCCTATTCAATGTTATGTATAAAAGTAGGATAGTTAGCGTAAGTACTCCTTAGACTTAACCTCTTCGTTTCCTATGCTTGTAGTGACCTAGATGTTTACGCTCAATACCATCTTGTTCACTATCCTCTCTGACCGAGTCCTAGTGGTTGTGTGCTCACCTTCATCATTATTGGTGAATGTTGGTCATAACACTGGCTCAACTTCTCTGTCAGGACGCTGTGGGAGGTAAGGCTTTTTTCAATATACCGAAATGGTTCTCTCGAGGCTAGTTAGGTAAGCTCTTCCTCTTATCGCAGCTGTGCACACATGCATCAATTTTCCGTAAAGCTTAAGTACTTCATCTAGTACGTGCGTAGGTTTCTTCCGCCATATGTGGATGGCCATAAGGTATTTTTCGACCTTTGGTTGGCTTAACGAGACTATGTGCAGCCCAACGTCCCATTTAAACCCAATGTAGAGGGAATGGGAGGCATACGGTTGATCTTTGGTCGGTTCCCATATGATTCCTAAGTTCGTCGAGGCATCATCGATGTCTTGGAGGTTGTGTGAGAATAGGAGATCATGTTCTGATCTCGGTGAGTTACTGGAAAAGTCTGTGATTGGTTGGGAACAATCTTTGCTAAATTCTTCTACTGAGCCGTCATCGAAAATGTGGCCGCCAAACCATAACCTGCTTCCAGACTGATGCATTCCATGTTTGGCTAGATTAAGGTGCCATCCCGCACATTTGCGGTTGTATTCTTCTAGGTACTGCTTTCGGATCCTAAAGAAAATGTGGTCATCGACCCATTTGTCTAAAGGACCGATACCTCGGTGTCATAGGACTTCAGCACTAGCATCAGCTACGAGGCCATAGGCACCGGCCGCTGGTGTTGATCCAAAGGCCGTGCACGTGTCAACACAGAACTCGGTGTTCGAGGTGCGTACTATGGCCGCGGGCCATTGAGAGGGGTGTAGCAGGATGGTATGATAGGCTTCAGCAACATCATGAGTTGCTACCCTCTGAACCTGGGGGGAGTCTCAAAATAAGTAGATAAATGATTGAAAACTTTCCCCAAGTAGTGGGGAAATCATTGGCATCAATAAACGAATTAATAGATGGGTTAGGGAATTGGGGGATGGAGGAATGGGGAAAGGAAAAGTTTTGTATTAGTCTAAACTTGCCTGGCTTGCCAGGTTTCGGGATGATAGAGAGGGGGGAAGACTGAAATGGTCCAATGAGTTTTAAAAGAGTGTCAGCAGGAAAGGGTCCTATGTAACGTGTTTTCCAGAGTTCTTTAAGTACATTGGCATCAAATTGATCTTTGTATGTAATGATGGAGTCTTTATTAGGGGGTGATTGCGTGGAAGTTATAGTAGGAAAGTTTAAATTAAAACCGGAGTGCAGACCTTCTAGAACTTTCGCAAAATGTGGCAAGAGGTCAGCATTTTGTAGTTCTTTGGTCCAGGCCTCCACCTTGTATGGCGTGAGAGGATTAGATCTTCTGCGCTGTAGGGCAGCACTAGGCACCATGAGTGATAGCGCCGCACCCTGAGCAAACATGACGGGAATCGTGCTTGGTGCTATCGCATCCTTCGTCACGCTGCCACCCTGTGCAGAGTTGCTTGCCTTCCTCAGTCCACAGTGCTTTGTTGATTCATTCTGCGATGGTGTCGTGTTTACCATCCCACGTGAGAGTTGCTGAGCATTCAATGGTGCGGTGGGGGTTTCATCCAAGGCAGATGGTGCAGCAAGGGAGTGGTGCATTGGGATCTCGAAACATTTTGAGTTTCTTACTGGACTTCATGTCTGGGGATGGAGGCGGCGAGCGCTTTTGGGAGCTGGTAGTGCAATTATGTTGTTGTTGGGTTCTGCTGGTTGTTGTTGTGGTCAGGGCATGAGACTACACCAAAGAGGATTCGGTTTCATTATGGGGGGGGAAAAAAGGGGGGGGGGTTGCGATGATGCGCAGTGTTGATGAAGGTTGTGAGAGTAAGGGGGGTATTGGTGGCGCGCGGTGGCCAATGTTTAAAGCAGTGGAGGATTGAGCCGTGATGGCCAGGGTGTTTGGAAACCCAAGGGTGGGATAGGGCATGATGTCCAGGTGTGAAAGGGTTGTTTGGGCGTGATGCCAAACATTGTGTCAATGTGATGATCGTGGAACATGAGGGGGAGAAGTGGGGGGGGGGGGGGGGGGAACGAAGTGTATTTAGTATGATATTTGTGTCGGGTTTATGACTATAAAAACATACCTGGATGGATAATTGCTGAATTCTGAACTGGTTGAAAATTGTCTCTCGAGATTCATCTAGGAGATCTTGGTTGATCCTCGCTAGACTCCAGCTGTTGGAGCTACCAATAGCTAGATGCCAATGGCGTCTCTGTTGCGCCTGATATAACAGTAGCGCTCGTTGTTTATGAGTGTCGAAGTCGTGGCACCAACGATGATTCTGTAGGGCGGACCAGAACGCAATGTACATATTCACTCTGTCGTTGGGCCAATCGTTTTCCTTCATCAGCGCTATCATTCTAGGGGCTGCCTCATTAAACTGTTCCCAGGTGAGATTTTCGTCCTTCACAATCTGTGCTTTGGGATCCCATGCAGTGCCTGCAGGAATCCACTTGTGTAGACCGTCCACGGTGGGTAGCATAATGAGCACATCTTCATTGGCCGTAAATACCATTCGAGAGGCTTCTTCGAGACCGCTGTTCATAAAGTAGAAGAGCTCGCAGAATTCTCCGGATTTCATTCTGCGAATAGCATATTGGCACGGAAGGATGATGGGGTTGGACAGAATATCAATGTTGCGGATTGGAGTATATTTAGATTTATTTTTCTTGCGCTCTTCTAAGATGGCGGCTTCCTGTTCTGCTAGAAGAGTTTGTTGGCGCTGGTCTTCAGCTTCGGCAGCTTGTCTGTGTTCAGCTTCAGCTGTGTGAGCTTCTTCTTGTAGTCTAGCATTCCAGTAAATTTTGTCTGTATTGTTTTGGATTCGCCAGAGGCTGGCAAGAAGTTCTGCTGCTTGCTGTTCGTCTACTGTGTCGTTGACAAGCTGAGCGTGTGCTTCCACGTGTTCGTTTGATTGGAAATCTGGAACGATGGCCAAATTAGGGTTCTCTGCAAGGAGGGGCATTGCAGTAAATAGTATTGTAAAGAAAGACAGGAAGAGATAGAGTAGACAATATGAGAAAACTAATAGCGAGCTGCTGATGCTTGATTACTGACGTGGGTCGGAACAAGGTGCATTGCGCCACTCTGCTTACTCATGCATAGACTTAATTCTGCGCTAGCCGAGGCACGAGGCTAGCGCAGAAAGCCAGTATACCTCCTTCTTGGCACCAAACTCTAGTACCCTCAAACTTTAATAGGAGCGCAATACCAGTGGAGTTTTACATATTGAAAGTCATCACGTGTTGGAGTTGACAAGTCGTTCGGCCCGATACACTATTTCGGATGCGATATGTTTCCAGCTCGTATGTTTCACATTTATTTACATTAACAGTTTCTACTAGCTACACGCCAGACGACAGACGTCTGACAGACTTATACCATGCGCGCAGCGCGTTATCCGTTTATCCTATCTACTTGCGATAGTATTTAGCTACCTACAGTATGTGTTTGGGACCTCAGGCGTTGATTCACACTTGTGTGCGCAACTGCATCTACGAAAGCTCTAATACTAAAATCACGGCCATAATATACAAAGTTGATGCGTTGGACTCCAGTCAGTCCAGTGATAGGGAGATCGGAGGAAAAGGATTTATAAAATCGTACATAGCCCAAGAGTGACGTGCATGGACGTGCTAATGACGAGGACTGTGGTATCGTACAAAAGAAAGTCAGAAAATTCGCAGTGTGAGTAGGCAGGGACATCAACAAGGAGATCTAAATTCGAAGCAAACTGCTAAAACACGACTGAAGAGCCTCAGAATTAATTTCAATTGTTGGCATATTCAGCAGATGCACAACACATGAAAAGCCAGAAACGAGTCCAGCGGCCAGCATGTCCTATTGTTATATCAGGGGGCGAGGTTGGCGATGTTGTGGCTGCAGAAGTAGCGATGAATGCAGGTGACGTGGTGACAGCAGCATGTAGTTGCGAAGATGGCTGGAGGTGAGTGGCACTACTAGATTGCTGGCTGACACTGCTCTGTGAGATGCCTGCAGTAGCGTTCGTCAATGTCAATGGAATTGGCCTTCGTTTCTCTCTTGCTGAAGCGTTCCTCTAAACGATGTTAGGTGGAGTTGAACATTCGAAGAAGAGAAACATACACGTTTCTCCTGTGCAAACGGGACGTCAACTTCTGCTGAGCGACACTGGGGTAAATCGGTGCCTGCATCATTTGGTGTCTCAGTGAGTCGAGCCCAGTCGAGAGGACGGGGCCGGGATGGCGTATCGTGGGCGTCGGAGTGGGTGCGGCTGAATATCGAAGAAATGCGACCAAGAAATGTGCGTCCATGCGGTGCTGAGGAGCGGTGTCGTGAAGAGAACTGAACGAATGATGTGAGGAAAAAAACGACTGGTCGAGATACTAACGACGTACATGAGCACGATCTGGCGAGTCGTTGAAAAAGCTGGCAGGAGGCACATAACGAGCGTCTGGGCGTCGTTGGATCGTAGGACGTCGCGTAGCATCACGCTGAAGTGCATACATTAATCTGCTATGAGATATTTGTATAAACGTGCCACGTACATCGAGTAACGCCTTGTTACTGTCCTGCAGTTGGAAGGGCGCGTTCAGTTCCTGAGACTAGAATGAGCTACACCTTCTCACCTTTAGAAGGTCGTCAAGGCCAGCGTCTCTAACAATCGTAGCAACATCCCATGTGTACGTGTTATTGTCAGCGCAGCCAGTCGCTAGTAGATTTCCATCCTCCGAAAATGACACGCAGCCCACTGCACCTGGATGCTTGAGGGGCGAAGTGATGGGCTGGCCGTTATTGAGATTCCACAATAGTGTTGTATCATCGAGCGAACCGCTTGCGAGGATGCGGCCATTCGGAGATATTGCAAGGGCAATGACACGGTTGGTGTGCTCGTCTAGAATAGCGAGCTGCTTCCAGGTTGTTGTGTTCCATGTCCTAATCGAGTGATCATGTGACCCGGAGATAAGCGTCTTTCCGTCCATGGTCCAGGCAAGGCAGCAGACTTTATCTTTGTGTCCTTTAAGAGCGGCGACCAGCTCGCCTGTCTTGGCCTTCCAGATTTTGATGAAGTATTCGTCCGTGTGGTATCCACCAGTCGCAAACATGGTCATGTCAGGCGAGTAGACGACCGCGTTCAATTCCGTGTACCGTGACGAGCCAGTCTTGATTGGTGCGTGGATGGTCTCCCCGCTTTCCACATTCCATTGCCTTGCTGTCCTATCATCTGATCCGCTTAACACTCGCTGACCATCTTGACTCCAGCAGACAGAAGTCACACCCTCTCTGTGCCCCGTCAATTTTGCAATGACCTTGCATGTGTCGATGTCCCACAACCTCACTGCACAGTCTTCGCTTCCGCTAACCACTTTCTTCCCGTCCGGAGACAACGCTATGGTCCACACTCGAGTTTCCCCATCCCGCCAGTCCCTCCCTATCTGTTTCCCGCTCTCCAAGTTCCATACCCGCAGTGAGCCGTCCCTTGAACAAGTGATGATTCGCTCTCCGTCTGGTAGGTGTATGACGCCCCAGACATGAGCGGTGTGTCCTTCAAATTTCTGCCGAGGTGCTATCGCTGATGTCCCCTCCGCGCTAGCGGTGAGTGAAGACATACCCCAGAATTCTAGCTATTGAGTGCAGCACACTCTCAGCCTTCATCTATCAAAGTACGCAATCACTTACCAAGATGATGTTTTCAAAAGGACTCGACACACAGGCAAGGGGCGTTTCGGTCGAGTCGCAGTTGAGTCCACTGGGAATTCGGTGGTACGTTTTAGGTGCCTTATCCATCATAGTTTATATCCATCATAGGGCCTAGGCAGTGCAGCTGAGGCGCCCAAACCTTGTTTGTGTATAGTAGATCTGTTCACCGGGTCCGTCGGTCGAGATTCTCAGTCTAACACCAATTCCTCTTCTTCTCCTGTCTTCAAAATCATCGGAAAAATCATGCTCCATCCATCTTAGACTCTTGTAGTCCCATACAATTCTGTCACCATACCACATTCTCCGCCTCGCTGCTTGGAGAAATTAGCGCGCAATGCACTACATCATATCTATGACATCCGGACTGGCATCGAGAGTGCCTGATGACGAGGACTGGATTTATCGTAACAGTATATATATTTCCCACGCACATCATTTCCGTCTGACGTTTGACACGCAACAGAATACTGCGCCCTTCTACTCGGATCCGAGTCATCGACGATTCGAGAGCGAACTTCTCATGGACATGGATGACTGGACCGTCACCACCCAACCCGCGCATGCGTCAATGATACCTCAGCAGGCTGGGCATGTATCCGTGCTTGGGCCGCAGTTATGAAGACGGAGAGATCAAAGGTTGTGTTATCTTAAGCCCTTCGAGGAATAATCACCAGGACAGGCACAATACCTCTCACCGGGACTGGTGGGCGCTGACTTGGCGAACATCTATCTAGGCTCCCAAAACCCGAGCCTATTCCTTCCTCTCGGCTCTTTCAGCTGTAGCTATGTTGCAGCAGTTTGTTAGTCGCAAACTCGAGTGCAGGTCTTGTTGGTTCCGGCTGGTTTGTATGTTCTTCAAGTTAAAGTATGTCACGGTGCACTGTAGGTGGTGCGGGAATTCATGCGAAGAGTGATGTGACGACTCATAATTACCAGCTTATTTGAATAATCCTTATGGCGAAACGACACTGGTTGTCACTGTATTCAAGGGCATGTGCCGTCTTTCACTCGTGTCATAATGTCACGTCTGCCTTGCTGAATGACATGCACAGTGCACAGTAACATATGAGCGTCTGTCTTTTGTTATTGTCTTGTTGGGGTGTACTACCCTATGTAGGACATTGCTATCTAGGAAAGGGGGACACCCGTGTCCCCCGCCGCGTCTCCGACTCTACAAATGCCCCGGTGAGGGTTGACTTCATCGGTCCGCCGTTTCCGCCGGCCGTTTTAGATGCACGAGCCTTCCAATTTGCGGGACCGTGATGGTACATTGCGTGCTTAGGTGGTCCTGGGCAAGTGCTGTGGCTTGTTGCATGTACTCGGAGCACCGAGGTGCTCGTTGTACGAGGAGAATGATGGAGAGCGGAAATGGACGAGCGAAGAGCGGAGGTCAGCGTCTACCGAGGGCTTGATTGATTGAAGAAGTTGCCTTGATGATCTGTAATGGTAGTTGATGTCCTCATGCTATATCTCTCTTCTTCCTCCCACTGAATTCCATTCGAAATGCTTTGCGTCTCGCTTTCCCGTCGTCGGCGAGAGCGTATGTCTGAGCAGCATTCTGACAGTTCGTTTGTTGCATCACTTACTCCATCGTTTCGTGATGCCGTTCTATCAGAACAACAAGTTATACCGATTCGCAACGGGAAGTGCGTGCTCAATTATATAAACTTCATGTGTAATTCTTTGAGGCCCGAGCTGAGCGGAACATCTTTCAAGTTTGATAAGCTCGTGACCAGAGCGGCTTACACCCCATTTAAAAGTCGAGTGGTGTCTTCGGTCAAAGTTTACTACAGGCACAGTCGCTGACTGCAAGCGCCCTGCCACTAACAGATCCAGTCTGACTACATATATCATAACCCTTCTCTCTCAAGGACGTAGTCAGGCTGATCATGTTGGAGAGGGGGCGGGCGCATCAGTAAACCGGTGAGCCACCGATATTCTCATATTTTGTAAGCCGAAATGCTCTTTCCTATACATGGCGTTATAAAACAATATCTAAGTCTGGACCGAGCGTGAATATTTGAATTGGCGTATATATTACTTTGTATGGAAAGAAGCATTGGGCTTACAAAATACTACAATATCTATTAACATCTGAGTCTCACCGGTTTACTGATGGCCCCCGCCCGCCGCCGCCGCTGGTCGTACTGTGAAAAGTACGCACAACCATCTACGGAACATCTCCTGAAGCTAAAACGAACCTCAGCTAAAACACTTCAACACGCGTGGCTTCTACATATGCAAGGGGTAATACCAAGAAACCAACCGTCTCCTACAAACGGTACTTCCTAAACGAGTCTTCAGTTTGCCACAGATAAGAATATCTGAGGCTCAAAACGCTTCGCTTGCACAACTTACATGGGCAGTTTTCCCGACTTGCTGTCCCAGATTCAATTCTCGTTAACCAAGTGTAGAGTCTCCTCCTGTCTTCGTCCAAAGCATTCACCCGTTCATGGTCCATCGTTATCGGGTCCAGGATGGTCTCTCCGCTACTGACATCCTACACCCTCGCAGTTTTATTGTCATTGATTGTCACCCGCTGACCATCTGTGTGCGGACAGAGAGGACTGCACGTCCTCCCAAAGTGCATCGGGGCACTGGACAATCCAAGCACATTGAGCGCATGGCCCACGAGGTCGAACAGTTCGCCTCAGAGGACAGGGCCTTCAGCAAGCGTGTCGAGTGCCCCAACACCTGTACTCTTTTGTCTATGACTAAGTCCAACTCGGCGATCCTTCATCCAACTTGGCCATTGGTCTGTTCATGGGGCAGCAAGTTTTAACGATAAAAGAGACCATCCTTAGGAGGCAGATGACGTGACCAGAGTGCTTACGGCAGGAGTTCGAGAGAAGCTGTAGGAGATCCAGAGCCTCGTTGGCCCCGTCACGAGCAAGCTGTATAGCGCAGGTGCCAGCGTGCCCGAGGATAATTACTAAGATCATACTGAGCTGCGAGACGCATACGAGTCCTGCGCCCTACGGAGGTTCGCGCTGATCAAAATTGCGTCAGTATCATTCATGTATATATTTCCTTCATTGTGCGCATTGAAACCTCCACACCCCAATCGTATAGACCAGACGTATCCTACATGAGAACCAGCTTGGTCAATCTGTCATTAGAGATTCTGGGTAGTGTATTTTGAGTGTATTCAAGCCGCTCTCGAGTAAGATGTCAAACACTGACAAGTGCCGGTCCGTCATGGAAAGGCTGAGAAGAGGGTCCAGAGATAAGGAGAGCGGTGCAAAACCTGATCGGAATGTTACTGTGCAACGGCAATAACGAGGGCAATAATATGAAATATGAAGTAGGGGCTTACGTATGTGTATTCTGATGGGAGACGGTAAGGGGTATAAAAAGAATGGTTTGAACCAACCAACCACATAGGAGGGGGAGTAGTATGAGTAGGCAGAACACATAAACGGCGAGTTGTACATCTGGTAAAGACATGGAAGAGACGAGTGTAAACGACGAGCAAACAGTAGATTACTCAGGCTCAATCACAACCTTCTGTACACTCAGGGGAGGTACAACAGATGAGAAGCCAGAAACGAGTCCAGCGTCCAGCGTGTCTTAGTGTCATATGAGGGCGCGAGGGCGCTGACGTTGTAGCTGTAGAAGTAGTATGTGGTTGCGAAGTTGACTCAGTCTGGGCTTGAGCTGGTCCGACGGATTGCTGGTGGTACTGGGCTCAGGAGGCCGTGAACTGCCCGCTGGCTTACGTTTATCTCTCGCCGAAGCGTTCCTCTACATGATACGAGGCGGTGTCGAACATCGGAGAAGGAAAAATAACATCAGGGAGTTGAACATTCGAGAAGAAGACGGGAACATATACGTTTTCCCTGTGCAAACGGGACATCGACTACCGCCGAGCAACACTCGTGCAATTCGATCCCTGCACCATTTTGTCTGCGCGGTGTCTCAGAGAGAATATTTCGAGCCCAGTCTATCAGAGGTCGGCGTCGGGATGGCGTATTGTGGACATTGGAGTGGGTTCGGCTGAATAACAAAGAGATGCACCCAAGAATTGTGCGTCCATGCGGTGCTGAGGAGCGGCGTCGTGAAGAGAGCTGAACGCATGATGTGAGGAAAAAACGACTGGACGAGACGCTAAAGACGTACGTGAGCACGATGTGGTGGGTCGTCGAAAAAGCCAGGAGGCAAACGACAGGCGTCGTGGCGTGGCTGGACCGGACGTCGTGTGACATCACGCTAAAGTGCATACATTCATTTGCAATGATATGGTTGTATAAACGTGGCACGCACATTGAGCAACGCATTGTGAGGTTCCTGCGGCTGGGATGGCGCGTTCAGTTCCTAAGACGAGAACGAAGGGAAACACTTTCTCACCTTTAGAAGGTCGTCGAGGCCAGCTTCCCTAAAATTGCAGCAACATCCCATGTGTACGCGTTTGTGTCATGGCACCCAGTCGCTAGGAGCTTTCCATCTGCCGCAAATGACACACAGTCCACTATCTCTGCATGCTGGAGGGGCGAACTGATGGGCTGGTGGGTTTTAAGGTTCCACAATCGCGCTGTCTTGTCGGACGATGCGCTCGCGAGAATACGGCCATTCGGAGATATTGCAATGGCATAGACAAAAGAAGTGTGCTCATCCAGCACTGCGGTCTGCTTCCATGTTGTGGTATTCCATGTCCTAATCGAGCAATCGATTGACCCGGAGATAAGCGTCTTTCCGTCCGGGGTCCAAGTCAGGCAATACACGAATTTTTGTCTTTTGAGAGCTGCGACCACTGGCTCGCCTGTCTCGGGATCACAAATTTTGATGGACTCGTCATCTCCACCAGTCGCAAACATAGTCATGTCTGGCGAGTTATCACGTGTTCGTGCCCGGTCTTGATTGGTGCGAGGATAGTCTCTCCGCTCTTCACCTCCCATTGCCTTGCAGTCCCATTGCCTGATCCGCTTAACACTCGTCGACCATCTCGACTCCAGCAGACAGAGCACACACCCTTTGTGTGCCCCATCCATTTTGCGATGACCTTGCATGTGTCAATGTCCCACAACCTCACTGCACCGTCCCGACTCCCACTAACCACTTTCTTCCCATCCGGAGACAACGCTATGGTCAACACTCCGTCCCGCCAGTGCTTCCCCATTTGTTTCCCGTTCTCCAAGTTCCATACTCGCAGCGAGGCGTCGTTTGAAAAGTCATGATCCTCTCTCTGCCTGGCAGGTGTATGATGCCAAGGACATTTGCGGTGTGTCGAGCTGAAGCGCCCAAACCTTGTTTCGGTAGGTCACCGGGTCCGCCAGTCGAAATTCTAAGTCTGCCATAAATCACGCTTTAGACTCTTGCAGTCCCATACAACTCTTCCTCATCCTTTTCAACCACGTTCTCCATCTCACTGTGCCCTCTTCTGCCAGTGATATCTGTCTACCTCCGATAAGCACGAAACTGCAGCTCTGTCCTCGTGACATTGCTTTATCCTGCTGTGGGAAAGCTACTCTGTGATCGTAAGTTCTAATCGTATCTTTGTTGCGGAAGACTGAATACTTATTCATTAGAGAAGTTCTCGAGCAAGGTGCCCGTTCGTTTGCTCCTGCATATATACGACACTGGACTTTCACCACCGAATCGACTTTTTTTTTTTTCTCGATGCTGACATCAAGAGTACACGATGATGGTGACTGAATTTATCGTAAAATAGTATGTCTTGCTTGTTTCTTATGCATATAATTCGGTCTGACGTTTTACACTCCTGCAACAGCACGCTGCACCTGCCCACTCGGATTGTTGAGAGTGGGCTCCTCATGGACAAGGATGAGTGGACAATCATGAGCCAACACACGCATGCATCGAAGCCATCTCAGTGGTCCGGGAATAGGGTTGTGCTGGGATTAAATTTGACACGTGGCTGGATGGTCATCATATGCTAAAGTCCAACTCCCTCACAGTCTGCCCCTCTACACTCAAAGCAGTGGTGGGAAGGAGCCTGCTACGACACCCGCATTTTCACCGCTAGATCGACCGATACTAGCATCAAGAGTACACAAGGACGAGGACTGGATTTATCGTGGGATGGTGCGCTTTCCTTGTTTCCTGCGCACATCGTTTTTCAGTCTGACGTTTCACACTCCTGGCTGCCAACTCAGGATCATCGAAAGCAGGCTCCTAATGGACAGGGATGACTGGACATTCATCGTCTGCTGTCCTCGTAGTTGCTTGGTCTTCACGAGGGTTTGCTCGTCCGATTCTGCCGCACAGGACGCATCTAGACATGGTGTACGCGGCGGTCCATTATTCGATCCTTGGAAGGGTATAGTATCTATTGCGAACACGGATGAGTTCCATCGTGGTACAGCAACAGAAGGATATTGAAGGGGATAACAATTGGATGTTCCTTTCAATCTTGTCTGATGGAACATTGCATTATTATTCACAATACTCGACATTCCGTAACAAATGATGTTTGGCCTTTTTGGAGGTTGATCCATCTCTACTGGCGCCCGCTGGATCTTGACACTCTCACCCTAATATATACTCACCCAGCTTTTCTCTTTTCCGCCTTTTGGCCTTTGGCCTTTCTGGTTTTGAGTCCTCAACTCCCCTCCACTTGTACACTCCGGTCGACCAGCGGAATGCCTGTCCAATGGTAGGGCCTTATTCCTTCCCTTCGCCAGCCAACGCTAGCACCCAAAATCGCATTTTGAGATAAGATACCCTCAATGGTAGTCCCCTTTTCCGATCAACCGAAGCATTCAAATATCTCATTGTCTTCATCCTCGAGCATTTCAACATTGTCCCTCGCAACAGCTAACTCGGACATGAATATCTCCCGGCCTCAGGTTTCATCGGTGCCCTTATTGTGAGTGCGCAGTTTTACACTCGTCTAATAATAACAACCAATAACTTTAGCTGGCCCCCACTCACGAGTGACTGTACCAGTATATATTGAATATTCAGACATATGATCGATGCCATGACCAGATTCCAGACCTCAAAATACTATATCACAAGCTCCACTGGCAATATCGACCACTTTGATGATCAAGCTCAAGGATCAGACATTTTCACCAAACGCCAGCAGGAGTTTCACAGGATATCGTAGTAGGCCTGAATACCGACGTACTGTCATAGGTAGAATACGAGATCCTCGCCAACGGCTCGCGGAAAAGCAGAAGATCATCCAGTCGATGAACCTACACAAACAACTTGCATCGACTCTCTGTCACCTGTTGGAGTGCTATCCAAGAAGACCATCATTCTGTAGCGTCCTTGAGCTTGTAGACGCAGTGTATTACGTGACGTCAGAGACCCCGCCCGTTAGATTGAGGTTAAACGGTTAGTCTTCTGTGCAAGGACTTCCTCCTTATGCTCACCCCTTTTCTTACGGGCTGTTAGTCTTCCCTTGCTTCACTCCCCTGGCGCACCAGAAGACCCCGCCCTCTGCTGCACTTGGGATACTGGTAGTCCCTGATCCACATCTGGAGCAGTTCATTCAGCAGCCCCACTCACATTGCGTTCATGAAGCATCAGATAATTCTTTTGCAAATGATCACATGGAAAGGACGAAGAGTTTCTCGGATGGGACTATCCGCGACAGGAACAGGGCCAAAGACAAATCTCGTGGACATGACAAATAGCGCGAAACTCGTGAGAAGGAAAAAGGAACGACAAAAGGTGAAAGAGGTACGAGAGCCTTTGGTGCGAGCAATATGACCCCTCAGAGATTACACGTATGATCGGTGCGTTCCTTCAAGCGATAATGTGTCCTTGATGTTGCAAGAATTGAATATCGGTGTAGGGTACCTTACGGCGACCTCATCGGAGGACTCGACACTCGCGCTCGAGGTTTACGAGCGCGCATCCGCCAATGAAGGCGATGCCAAGATGGCTGTGAAAGCCCCGAGGAGTTCATTCTTAAGTGCATTCCATATCCCATTCCGTCTACAGTCGAATTTTACGCATATAACAGTCGTCTCTTTTGTCTATTCGACCCAGTACCACATGTCACAATCCCAGGCACAGCCGTCTTTTCCTCCGGGTGCAAGTTCCAATGACATTGAGCAACTAGCACATTATTTTCCAGGACACACGTACAGGAACTCTCGCTTTCAACGTACCTCACATCCAACCCCGTATCCACTTCCTGCAACACAACCAAACATCCCTCCCACCCAGAAGCAACCCATGTCAGCTCCACTGCCCCATCAAGAGTTCAAGCAGGAGGCCTACTACTCCCCCACTTCAGCAGAGCTCTACACTCGCGCGCAAGTCCTCGCCTCGGGAGCAGGACGGGGGCCTGCCTCGGCCCACCACACTTCGTCCTCCACTGCTATAACTCGTCTCCCCCCTATCCTACAGGTGGAGAAGAAGCAGGTTACCACATCCGCAACCCAGGTAGCGAGCGAAAGCAGGCGGAGGAATGAGGCTCGTTTCTTATGTCCAGTACCGGGTTGTGGGAGCACGTTTACGCGTCGATTCAATCTGACAGGTGCCTAGTTACACCACATGTCTGTATTTTGTAATTAACCATCATGATCATCCTTGCAGGACATCTTCGATCCCACACCAAGCAACGCCCGTATGTGTGCGAGTACCCCCATTGCAAGAAAGACTTTGCAAGACAGTATGACTGCAAGTAAGAGTTTCATAATCCCGCTTCCTCGTAATACTGTTCTACTTCTCTATCGTATATTTGGCATCGGCCGACAGCTGTCCGTTATCGCGTCACCGGTCCTCTGCCCCTAATTTCATTATCCACTCACCTATGGCATACTCACGTCATGATCTGCACAGGCGACATCAAGCACTTCATGTCACGCGCTCGCAATCCAACATCTGCCAAGGCTGTAAGAAGGCCTTCAGCCGCCTGGATACCCTAAACGTAACTCCTCTATACCGTCATCAATGCATATCCGCTGACGTCGATCCCCTTCTGTTTCTCTTTAGCGGCATTGTAAGTGGCAATTTTCCTGCGTTCTCGAGAGTTCACTACTCACTGTTACACGGTGTAGTTCACTCCGAGAGAGGTTTTAAATGCAGACAGATTGTAGAAACTCAGCAGCAGGCCGCGGCACATGCTCAAGCAACCATACAGGCTCACAGTCCTCCACTAGCTGACCACCGCTGTCAATTAATCAACACGCATGGATTGATGCGACTCCCAGAACGCTTTTAGATTTCTCTCTTCACTCTTAAGCTTGATCTCTCACCTCGGTAAATGCATATTGCCCGCTCCATAACGAATTCACGCTATTGCCACTACCATTTGCACAGTTAAGGGCGACAATGCTCCACAACGCGTCTGGGATGTTTATCACTCAGAACAGCTCCCGTAAATTTATCGACACGCTCGCTTCATAACCAGTCCTATCGCCAGAGAACGGCTCATGGAGGTCATCACTAGTTCACGTACGTCCTTGTCATTTACTGGCTTTCCTCATCTGCTATTTAGTGCATATACATACACATCATTTTAAAAATGCATATTTCGAGCCATTTTTGAGCCACGCCCTCACTTTTTCGTATGTTCACTTAGATCGTGATTGTGAAACCTATGCAGGGGTCTACTTAGGCTCTAGTGATGCCCGACATTGACAGGCGCCACATCCGTTAGTCCTTGATAATAACTTTTGTACCGCACTCACGATCCCTGACCATCATCATGTCGTCTTCGACATCGAATGCACTGGGCACTGTTACACATCCCATACCGCCTGCCGCTGCAAATTTTGCAACAAAATGGGCTATCATCGAGCAGGGACTACATCATCGAGACCAGCTCCTACGATATTTGGCTGAGTATCCATACAGCGGTCCACGACTACAGCACATCCAAACCAACCAAACATATCAGCCCGAGATTAGTTCATAGATTAGGCTACAGAGTCTATCACACAATGTTGCGAGTGAGCAGGCTAGACTCATTCCTTAGTAGTAGATGATCATCTTCCTTGGCTACCTATCTGGGACGACATTACTAGATGCCTAGGAAAGACAGATGATCCGTGTAAAATCAACCTTATATAACAAGATCATAGAGCACAACGTGGGTGTTGTAAGGTATGATATACAAAGATCAATCGACGTCAGACCGTCTCAGTATCACTCGAGTCCAAAAAGCCGGTCACCGCGTTCGGTCTGGAGGAATCTGCAACCAGCAGGCGTTTCTTCTTCGCCCTGGAAGCAGTATCGCACCCTTCGGGGCCTTGCAGGTGAACTTCTTGCGGGGAAGCCTTTCTGATGGTTTGCCATTGACACGACCACAGCCTGCATACGAACACTCGAAGACCGAGCATTTGCGCGAGGCGTCCGCATGAAATTTCTGCCACTGGGTCGGGCACCCACACTGTGGGCATTGGATTGGAAGTGTATTGCCCCACGGACGGGCGGTGACGTGAGCCCATGAGTAGCGGGTGCACTGCAACAGCATCGCTAGGCCATCATGATTATCCCCAGACGTCACGGACATCAGGATGACGTCCGAGTGCATACCAAGTTCCGATTGGTCGAGGATCTTTGGGAATGCTTCGCGCAGTGGAAAGCATTCTATGAGGACAGACTGAGCGAACGAGATCATAAAGTGGCAGGCGGATGTCGGACGGAAGTGCTTAGCGGTAAATGCAACTGCGGATGAAATCCTGTGATTGACAATGGATGTACGCAAACCACGAAAGTTTTCGGGTTGGTTGACGATGGCTCCGCAACCTAACAAAAATAGTGTCGTGTCCTTTGCACGTCGGATTACATTGCGCCATGGATCAAGTAGAGTATCCATAAACTGAAGGAGGAAAGTTTGATCATCTGACGGAGATGAGGCAAAGAAGTAACAGGAAACATACCTCCGGGACAGCACCAATTGCATCGTTTGTGTGATCGGTGATTGCGATACACACAAACTCGTATTTGCGATCTTCCATAACGTCGTTCACGAGCTTCACACACTGCTTAGAGTAGTAATCGATATCAGCGAGGTCGAACACCACGTTGACTAGGCGGAGGCCACCGTGCGGAAAATAAGGTGCAAGGAATGTGTGGGTTGCATCGATTGGGCTCGCAGTGGCCCCACAACCAGCAAGCTTGAAGTGGACGATGAGAATGGGGGCCGAAGAGATCTGAGAGCGTCTGGAAAATTCCAACTGTCCACAAACTTCCAGAAATGTCGGGAGAACCGGTTCGCCATCCCTAAAAAATCCCTAGACATTTATGATTGAATGAAAAAGGGTGATGATAGGTACGAATGAACTCACATAGTACAATGTGAGCTGATTCGACTTCTTGTCCGAGGATGTGTGGCAGTGGATACAGCGGAATTTCACACCCGGCTGCGTCACTTCTTGTACACAGTTGCTCGGAATTGAGATGCACCGAGTACACATGACACGTGGGCAGTCAGGTTCGTTGCACTCGTATATAGAGACGCCTTCAGCCACTCCGCCTTGGCAGAGCATACAGAACTGTGGAAAAACATCAGTAGATGACCGGTCTTGTGTTGAATTCAGTGTCACTCGCATGATTTTTCGACGGTCCTGAACGGACTTCCAAGTGAGAGCGCACCATCTTAAGAGCCTGTGCGGGTACCGTGGCCTTCGCCACTTCAAGTTGAAGCGCCTCGGGTGGTGCCTCTGTTTTCAACGTTCGAGGTTTGAGTGAGACACGCTTGGCAGTCCCGCCACATGAACTTAAAGCCGTCTGCTTGGTACGCGCCATGGCGTTGTGGGACTCGGGTTGAGAGTGAAGACAGGGTACTTATGTATCTAAGGGTCGGGTTTGGAGCGGAAGCGACCGACAAATTTAACTACCATACAAACAACCCAAGCGATAGAAAAGTTCAAGTTGATGATTATGCATTTATGTAAGTACCACTTTACACAGTCGCCTGCCAGTACTTACTAGTAAGTTACTTACGCCAAACTTACGCACCAAGAACTGGTAAGTACCACCGCATGTTTTCAGGGGGTATATTTACTAAAAGCAGTTCTGCCCCCACACTACAGCTCCCGCAATGTGTATTACTTGGCGAGAATCACAGGCCAATCGATCGATCGTGGTCCTGGCGAGCTGCGTGGTGCGCACCGTATGAATTGTTCTCTGAAAAGGGTCTCCCAGAGAACGCATAGGGACCTTTCCCAGAGAACAATTCATGCATGTGCAGCGAGCGTCGAGTACACCAAGTGAAGCATTTGAAGCTGCTGCTAAAGTTCTTTTCAACAATGTTCCTCCGGTGGGGAGTCGTCTGTTATCCTTCGAGATAATGAGCTAGTCAGTGAGAGCTAGCCGCTATAATACACGTACTAAACTGAGCGTGATAGTGTGGGGCGGGGAATTAGCTGAAGTGGATCCTTATAGGAGCGTGCGGCACATCAAAGATGGCTTGTGGTATGGTTTTGTGGGGCGCTTCAACGTTGTCAAAGCGACCAACCGAGCCATAAGACAAGCTCCAGAGATAGGAAGAATGTTGCACTACGAATGTTATATTTACAATATTGGGCTACGATATCTGGGCTGGGGTAATGCACAGGTGCCCATAGCTCTCAACTCGAAGCCACGAACAACGGTGCCACACTTCAGGCCTCAGGGGCGCAATCCAACGACTTCAAGTTGTATATGTAGAACTACGGCAAGCTTGTATCTACCGTAGTTGGAGAACGTTGGAGGACGGAAGTCTGTTTGTTTGTTTGTTGTTTGTTTTGGAT